AGTAACAATTTGATTAAATCAGGCAAGTTTGTGTATGAAAGCGTGATTTTTTTCTTCATTTTTTCATATAAAATTCCATGTTGATCAAAAAATTTTTATTAGTGAGTGACACTTGACCCCCTGTATATCTGCAATGTCCTGTGACTGATAGGATAAATAATTAATGTGTACATGTTGATCAAATCACAAACTTCTTTTATTACTTTTATTAAAAAAAAAAAAGATGTCAGCTGTTGCTGATAAAAAAAGAAGAAAAATAAAAGGAAAAGATAAAGAATGACACAAGTAAGTGTTTTAAGAATAAGGATGGTGGTGGTGGTTATCACCCACCACTCATCATTACTCTAGTTATTATTAAAAAAATGGTCATATTTTATCAAGAGACATTACAGAAGATAAAGTAATAAGCAAATCATTTTCTTTTTAAATGAGTATGGTTGATTATTCTGGTATTAATATAATTTTCAATTAATAGGAAAATGAAAAATTATTATTTCAAGAAATAGTTAATGAATGTAATTTTTTAAGATCACAAAACAGCAAGTTATGGGAAATTATAGGGAAACAACAGCTTGTAATAAGAAATTTACAGACTAATAATCAAAAATTAGCTAGTAGTTTTAGTAATGGTAACAATAATGTTCCAAATTCACTCTTTCAAAAACCTGCCAACTTTGATAACAATAATAATCAAGAAATTCAAAATATTAATAACAATAATGATAGTGATAATTTCTTTCTTTTACCATCAAATTCAGTAAAATCATCTAATTCATTTAGCAATTATCAAACTTATTCTAATATTCAACATCAGGAAATTTTTCTGATGCAGATTTATGTAATTATTACACTATTTATGTAAGTTTATGGCAGGCCTATAGATGATTTGATTAAATCTAGCAAGGTAATACCAAATAATTTATCAATTTCTTTTCTTAAATTAATTATTAAAAGAATTTATTTATTCACGGTGTCAAAGACATCTAGTACAAGGCTTTTAGAAAGCATACAATCTGAAGATGAGATTTTACAAGTGGCTTCACTAGGAGAACTTCACCAATTGTTGTATGTTTGAGTTTTTAATTAAAATTTAGACATTCTACTGTGTTTACATTAATTCAGTAATCACATTACTAAATTTTGATCCCTGAAATTCTTGGTAATACCAATGTTCACTTTGTCTGGTTTTGTTGCAGCATGCCCCATTTTTGGTTTATGTAAAAATTTTTTTTTTATTAATTTATTAATTTTAATGTCCCTGTATTTTATTGATTAATTTACATTGTTTATAATTCTCAAAGTATGGTTTCTAAACTAAAATTAACCCTTGCAGTGAATTCAATATATGGGTGCTATTAACTCAAATTCGTTTTCAGGGACGTTGGTCACGTTTCTATTGTAACACAATTGTGATATTAAAACAAACACTATTGATCCCTGAAATTTCTGGTAATACTCAATGTTCACTTTATCTGGTTTTGTTGCGATATGCTCCATATTAAAACGCATTCAAAAAAAATCCTGCTCTTAACCTGAATGAGCTATTTTCCATATGAATTAGTCTCGCAACGATTTTCTTTGCAACTATGAAATACATAATTTTGATTTGCATATGTATGAATATAATATTAATATTTATTTGTTGCACGAAATGTTTTAATTTAAAAAATTTAAATATAGATGCAATAACAAATTTTTGATTCACAATCACTCGATATTAATTTTTATTTCTTTTATTTTTTAAAAAATTTATATCGATGATTTTAAATTTTTATTATTTTTATTTCTAGATTTTTATCATTAGTTATCACTTACATAAATTATGAAATTTATAATACTTTTTATAATAATAATATTTAATATTAATGGAATAAATTCCGCTACTTTAATATTTTATGATTCAAATAATAATAATACTGTTGATAATAATAATGGCGAATTAATTAGATTGTCAAATATTTATTTTACCAACTATAATAATAGTTATAATAAAGACGAAGATGTAATATTTGAAGGTGAAATGGAGATTAAAAAATTTAATGACAGTTATCTTAATACTACCAGTGGTAGTAGTAATAATGATAACGGTTTAGATTGTCAGATTAAATCAAATAAATCTAATGTAGTTTTATTGATAATAGATAAAAAATTTAATAGTAATTGTGAAAATATAATAATAAATCTTAATAGTAGTAGTAGTAATAATAATAATAATACCAACAAGAACGAAGGGAATAATCTAAAGGTAATCTTATTTAATACAGATGAAAATACTGGGAATAATAGAGCAAAGTATATTATCAGAAATAACAATGATAGTAGAGATGACGATGGTGATAATAATAATGATATTAGAATTGGATTAATTAATAATATTGATTTTAATAATGTTGATAATTTAGGTGATAAAATTAAATTTATCAGATTAATTTCAGGTAAATTATTAGTAATTTTTATGGTTTTTGTTTTTTTTAAAAATTATTTTATTAATGCTTTGCTTTTTTTTTTTTAACAGATTCTAATAATAATAATAGTAATATAATTATTAATAATAGTAATAATATTTACAATAAAATATTTTTAATTGCCTTCAACATAATATATTTAGCAATAATCTCAATAATAATTTATTATTATTATTGTAATTATGATAATTTTTCTGATTGGACATTAAATAATCCAAAGATTATGATATTACCAGGATTAATGATTATTGCATTAAGTAACTATTTTTAGATTTTGGATTTATTAATATTAATAATAACAATAATAACATGCTGATTAGCAATTTACTAATTTATTTATTTAATTTTAATTTTATGTAGTTTGTTTGATAAATTTAGAATTAAATTTTGGTTCAAAAATTTATAATTTATTAATAGAATTTAAATATTTGATAATCTCTTTATATTATATTCTATTACAATATTATTGGTAAGAATACTAATTTATTTTATATTTTTTTCTTAAAGAAAATAATATTAATAATATTTCTTTATTTATTTCATTCAAAAAAAATAATGACTTATAGCATTAAAGCGGCAAAAAAAATTACATCATTTGATACAAAATTAAGTCCAATAGTCAAACAGACATCAAAATTACAAAAAAATTTATTATTAATCAACCTGATATTATTATTTTTAATTTTATTAATTATATCAATAACGAATAATAATAACAATATAATAATGATAAATTATTTATCATTTATTCTGTTGATGAATTTAAATTTTATAATTTCTGGCATATTTATTATTTTTGTTTTGGCAACTGAAAGAGGAATTAGTCAGAAAATTGGAGATTCATTAATATTTAGATTTACTAATAAGCCAGATTTACTAAAAGCATTCAAGGTAATTTACTATTTTGGATGATGAATTGTGGTGAGGAACGAAAACAAGATTGTGAAAAAAGAAAAAAAAATAAGATTATGAGAAAGGGAAAACTAACAACATTTTTTCTAATTATCATCCTGATTATTTTTTTATTAGGTTTTCATAATTACGATGATTTTAACAATATCATTTACATATTTTACAATTTCAAATGTAATATCAAATACATCATCATCATCATCATCATCATCATCAATATCAGCATCAACATCAATAATTAATTCCACTTATTCATCATCTTCACAATCTGCATCTGCATCTGCATCAACATTTTCTTCAATATTAATAACTAAAAAGGTAAATTATTAATTATTTTTTATTTTTTATTTTTTATTTTTTTAGAATATCATAATCATCAAATAATTAATTTGCTTTCTCTCCTTTTTTCGCGTTATCTCTCTCCTCCATCTTCATCTTCACAATAGATTCTAGAAAACTCATCAAATGTATTATCAATTTTCTCAATATTACTATTGCTATGTAACAAATCTCTGTCAAGATTAATATTTTATCCATCACCACTTCTACTAACATGTCGACCTTCACCGGAATCATTATATCCAACACCTGAACAAATAGCAGAGGATGAAAAGGTTAATTGGAAAGCTTACACCACTCGTACCGCAATTGTTAGACCAGCGAAGTCATTATTTCATTATAAAATGAATGTTGATAGAATTTCAATGGAAATTTCCAAATCTCTGAACAATATGAATATGAACAGGGACGTGGTGAATATGGCGAATAATAATAATGATGATAATAGTACAAACATTATAAATGTAGATGATAATAACAATAACAACAACAACAACAACAACAACAACAACAATAACAACAATGTTAGCAACAACAACAACGATAGTAATAATAATGATAGTAATGATAGTAATGATAATAATAGTAATAATAATAAAAGTGATGAATTCAAATTTGATAATATTGATCTTTAAACTTTTTATTATTTATTTTATTAATTTTATTTTAGAAGAAAAACATCAGAGAAAGAAATTATAAATTATTATTTATATTATTCAAGAAACATTATGTTAAAAGTAATGATAATAATAATTCTTGATATGTATGTGTGTGTATATATATATATATATTATATATATAATATATATATTTTATTTCTCATCCCAATGTTAACAATAATAATATGTTTTTCTTCCCAATTAAAAAAAAGATATAATTAAATAATAAATAACTTGTTTAAAATTACAAAAAAATAATAATAAATAATAAATTAAAATATTTACACGCGCGCGCACAAATTCAATAAATTGTATATATGTTTCTTGTTAATTAATTAATAGCAATCCATTGCGTTTTTTATATTGTCATCACTTCCAGCAATTGAAAATATATTTGAAACAACCAAGTTAAGAACGAAAAATAAAATTATTATTATTATAACCAATCCTGAAATTATTTTTAAACATTCTTTGTTATTATTCATTTTTTTATCTCTATGTATATTATTTGGTTTTTTTCTAGGTGACAACGATGTTGGTGATGGTGGTGTGATGGCGGAAGAAGAAGGTGATGATTTTGTGGTATTTGAATTTGGTTTTTTAGCTATTCGGAAATTGTTTAACGCTGAATTATGTTTAATCAAATGAACAATTATATCATCCACTTCATCTGGTATTTCTTCATCTCTTTCATCCGAATTAGTTTCATTATTATTGCGAAATGCAAAATTAGAATTATCATTATTTACATCAAAAATATCATTTTGATTATTCGTATTAGTAGAAATAGAGCTTTTAAAAGCGTCGCCATGAACACCGCTTGCTGCATCCCAAGCATTGTTTACTTCTCCATTCTTATTAACATTTAGTAATAATGTTGCTGGTGCTGTCGCCAACTCTTTTATTATTGCTTGTTGTTGTTGCTGTGGTTGTGGTGATGCTACTGGTGTGAGAAGTTGTTGTTTTTGTTGTGATTGAATAAAACGATTACGAACTTCTTTGGTTCGTTTCATTATAATTTTAATTTTGTTTGTTTATTTTGTTTATTTTATGTTAATATATGTATTTATTTATTATGTATTATTGTTAAATAAAAATGGAATATAATCAAATGGATTTACGTATTATCCAAAACTTTAATTTTGTGAAATGAGTCAAAAATTTGAAGGTTCGTTTGTACAAAGACCTTCCCTGATTAGTGTTGGTATTACCAAATAATACAGTAGATCTGCATAAATACTTTCTAAACTTGGTGTTTTTCTGAAGCAAAAATTTTTTATATTGATATTTGAACAATGATCCTTTTTGTAGATGGCTGGTAAAAGTTGCTCCAACACCAATTTATAACCCTGGCAAGTATGTTAATGAATTAAATAAATAAAATAATAAATAAATGATAAGAGGCATGATGATAGGTCACTTCAATCAAGTCAAATTACAAGGAGGGTTTGCTTTAATTTAAAACAGATATCAGTAATATTTTAGATAATAATGAGGTTTTTGTTCACCATATAACACTTTCTTATAAAACCAGTGAATAATCAATTTATTCATAAATTAAATCACCTGGTATAGTTAATTCAATTTATTAATATTATATAATTAAATAATAAATAATTAAGATTAATAATTGTAACTTTATTGGTTGAGAAATATTGTAAAATTCAATAATCTACTTGTATAAACAACATTTGGATGAACAATGGTTGTAATTGCTGAAGAATTAAAGGGCTTTTTATCTGATTCATCGGACATTGTTCTCATTTTTTCTAATCCATCAAGCTATTCTCCAGAATAATTAGGACTATTTGATCAATATGCACCAACTGCTATTACTATTAGTTTTTTTTTCAGGATCAGCATCTGTGTATTTGTATACTAACTTAATATAACACCTTGTTTTTTTTCTGTTGGATGTTTCTCCATTTTCATTTGCAATTTCTTCAGCAAACCTTGATTTACCTACTCCAGTATTATCAGTAAATGTAATGATTGTAGTTTTGAAATTTCTTTTCTCTGGCAAGGATCTATCATTAACAAATCTAAGCATTGACATTTGATTCTCTTCCATTCATTCAATAAATTGTTATTTATTATTAGATGTTTTAACTATCACTTCTATTGTTGTTGTTGCAAGTTCAATATTAATATTATAATAAACATTTTCATCTTCTTTAAAAATATTCTTTGAACATTTGCTTTAGTTTTTGAAGTATTAATATTTGGATGAAGTATATCTATGTAAAAGGCTCCTTCATCTCTAACAATGAAGATGTTTTATTTCCATTTTGATGAGATAAATGAGAGTGTGTATATTACATTCACTTGAGTAATCTGAAATGAACTGTATATTACACAGTACATTGATCTAGAACAAAAGCACAAAAAAGTTTGATTAACAAAGTGTATATTTATTGATAGCATAATAAAAAATTTATGTATTTATCATAAACATCTTCTCTTTCTAAGCAACATTGAGGATAAGTCAAATAATTTTTTTTTTTGATTGAAATATCAATTTTTGTTAATATTACCAAAAAAGTTGACTCTTTTGACACTCACTCAATTTAATTTGGAATTTACAAGAAATTCTTTAAGACTTGAGCTACATTCCCATCAGTTTATTATTATTATCATAGAAGTTTGCAGAGCTACTGGGTTTCAAAGCTAGGAGTGATGATCTTTGAATACACATGGCTCTCCAACTGAAAAAAGCAAACTGGTGGAAATGAAGTCTATGACCTAAGCTTCGTTTTTCATCAGTTTATTTTTTTCATTATTATGGAGGCTCATGGTTTAAACGTTGATAAAAAATCCACCAATAAAATTGTGGATAATGATATTTTTATTTTGTGCAACAAATAAAATAAAATAAAAGTTAATAATGGTTTTACCACTTGAGCTTTTAACTGAAATATTTAAATACAATGAAGATGATTATAAAACGTTATATTCTTGCGTTCTTATCAATAAACAATGGCACAATGCTAGTATTCCAATTTTATGGAAAAATCCGTTTTATTTTAAAAAGAGCACCAAAATAATGATCAATTGTTTATTAGAAGAAGATAAGGATTTCTTGATTAGAAATAGGATTGAATTAACTTTTACACTGTTGAAGAAACCCCCGTTATATAATTATGCTAAATTTTGTACTAGACTTTATTTTATTGATAGTCATAATTTCCAAAAGCTGATAAAAACTTCTGGATTAAATATTTTCCAAAATAGATTAGTAAAATTTATTTTAGATCATTCAGCAATTATCAGAGAATTTAACACTGCTAATATAAATTGTGATTGGATAAATAATTATCATGGATTTGATAATAGCTTTCAAAACCTTAATAAATTATATTGTAAATTTACATATGACAGTGAATTTATTGATAGATTAGCAACCATTTGCAAATGTATTCAATCATTAAAAATATATTTTGATAAATACAACAGTAAATTTGAAGATAGTCTGACTCAACTAATTAGAGCACAAAATCAAATAAAGCAATTAGTCATTAGAACAAATAGTAATTTGACTTTAACAGATAATTTCAAACAAGCAATTCTCACACATTCACAATCGATAATTCATTATTCAAGCAGAGAAGAAAATAATATAGATCATATATTATTGCCAACCCTATACAATTTAAAGACTTTATCATTAACATCAACTGCTTCATCTGCTACTGATAACAAAATAAAATGGTTGAAAAATATTTCATTGCCAAATATTGAATCTGTGAGGTTATGTATTTATTATCAACCATTTCTATCAAACTTGTCTAATTTTATTAACATTAATGGAAAAACTCTTAAACATCTATATATTAGTGGTATTCCAAATGATGGAAATCTTTTGAGACAGCTATTTCAATCAATTTCACAATGTTGTGAAAATCTAGTGGATTTATCAATATTTTATAAGGATCAAGTATATCAAGAATTAATAGAAATATTCAATAATTGTATTAAATTAGAAAGTATTCAATTTAAAAAACTTCCAAAGTATTCTGTAAATAAAATAGATGGTGGTAGAATTTTAGCAGTTTTTAATCAAACATTACCAAAAGCATTAAAGTCAATAATTATTAATCAAGAGATTTCTAATATTAGTAACAAATCTTTCAATAAGTTGATGAAGAATTGGAGAGGACCCAAACCTTTTACAATAAAATTTGAAAGGTTGTCAGAAAATAGTAATCTTGACAAATTGATAAAAAAATATCAAGATTTAGGATTTTTAAACTAAATCATGTAAATTTTTATATTTTTTTTTATTAATATAATTTTGGTTGGGAAACAAAAAAATTCATCTGCTATCTGTAAAAGCAAGTTCGTCTCCATTAGAAAATGAATTGTAAATACAATAATTAATAATTAATTAGTAAATAGTAGTTTTTATTGATATACACATATTTATGTAATGGTCCGAGATTGATGATGTAATAATAATTGATTGATTGGTGATTTCATAGAACATGACTTCTAATTATTCATCAAGTCGAACCATAATTTCTATATTTGTAGAATTTCACAAAAAAATGTTTATAATAATATAATAATACAAAATATTTATATTATTTACGAATGAATTGTTTTCTAAATGTTAGATTTTCATTATAAGCCAAAGACCTTTCAACAATAAATTTCTGATCGCCAATGTTATTATTCAAATTGAAATTCTTTTCAACAGACTGTAAGAAGTCTTTAATTCCATCACTACTAATATATATTCTAGAATCAAATTTCACTTCAATTAAAGATTTGACATTAATTATCTGACCAAATTCTTTCATATCTTTACTGATATCCAATTTTTTCATTTCAAAATATCCTTCGCTATTCAAATCAACATACTTTAGATTTTTACATGATTTGAAAATACAAAACAGATCTCTAAATGTTTCATTATCGATTTGTAAACTTATATAATTTAAATTTGGACAGTATTTTATTATTGTGTCAAATAAATTGTTGTGGTTTGAGACGGTGTTGTAATTATAAGTGTTTGATGATGATGATGATGACGACGATGACGATTTCCTTTTCACTCCCCAGGTTAATTTAATTTTTAAAAGATTACGACCTGTTTTTTTAATTAATTTTGCAACGCTTTCAAAATCAATTGTACTTTGTTTAAAATTTAAAACTTTTAAATTTTCGAAATTTCTAATATCATCATCATTAATATTCCAGTAAATGCTAGCTTGATCCTCTAAATTTCTAAATATTTTTATTGGAACAAATTCAATTGTTAACTCCTTAACGAACTGAACCTTATATTCAATTGCTCTTAAAATGCCATCAATCCTTGGTTCATTATCGTATATTAATATATCTTTATTTACCACGCCTATAATTGATAATGATTCTAAACCTTCAATATTTCTAATTAAATTTGCTATTTCCAAACCACCTTCTTCATTTTCAGAAATAGCAAACTTTCCAAATAAAATCACCAAATTTTTAATTCTCTTAAATTTTTGTTGAAATCGTTTCCAAAATTCCGGATATTTAAAATCCATTAATGTTAAACATTCCAGCTCATCAATCTTTTTACAAAATCCTTCTAATAAATGCTTTGGATATTTAAATTGTTTGTCATAATGATAATCGTTGCCATTGATAGCATTGTAATAAATTCTTTTAGAAAAATTTCCATAATAATTACGAAAAGAATGCTTAAGCGATGATGCCGATACTTGATTTGTGGAATCTCTAGTTGTTGTTGTTGTTGTTGTTGTTGTTGTTGTTGTTGATAGAATTAAATTGCAAAGTTCTCGATAAAGTATTGAGTTTTTTAATCCAATTTCATATTTATTTTCAATATTATCTTCATAATTATGACCGTAATCACCACATTGTTTAACCCAAGAATCAACACATTCGTATAATCTTACATAATCTAAAACTTTTATAAATTTGATATAATTAAATAAAGGTTTTTTAAAAATCGACAATGATAAACTCTCATCCGAATCTTCTTTTCTGCCATCTTTACTAGTGATACTTTTATTTTTCGCTGGCGAATTAGCCTTAGCCTCTTCTCGCAAGCATAAAATACAAGTTCTGATAAACAAAGCCTCCAATTTAATATCACGTTTATATTTGACATATAAAAAATCTTTGAATGGGTTTTTCCATAATATGGACAAGCTAATTTTGCACCAATAACTATTTACTTGTAAACAGCTATACAAATCTTTTTTCCTATTGTTGTTTGTAAATAAAAGGGTCGAAAAAATTTGATAAATTATTTCATAAGGCAATGAATATATATTTTTATTCATGTCGGAAGTAAGTCCAACACAAATTATGGAAGGATTATTAGAAAAAGAATAATAAAAAACTAACAAAATAAAGAAAACAAAAGAACAAATCTAAAAAGAAACGATAAAAAAAATTTTTAACGAAAATTAATTTATCTGTATAGTAATAGTATTTATTTACTGTTATTATTTTGTACGAGTGAATTTTTCTTTCTGTTTAGGAAATAATTTACAATAATTAACCAAAATGGGCTAGTACTACTACGCGATTTTCTTAACTTCTGTATTTAGAAATTTCTTTTTATATTCGTTAAAAATTTTTCTTAGCAGGAACGTGAGAATTTGGACTTTATAATAAAATATTATTGTAAACTATTAATATATTTTTTTTTGATATAACACATTTTTCAATTATTTTATTTATTTTAAAGAATGTATAATATAATAAAATTTTTATATTTATTATTATAACGTTTTGTCAAATGTTCATTGCTAGAGTTATTATTGTTTGAAAAAGTTTTCTTAACTTTTCCGTGTAACACCATATTCTTCAACCATACATTCAATATTGCTACCTATTTCTTCAGTTCCCCTATTATCTGTTCTTATTGAGTCATCAATATTTCTAGTGGTGCTGGTTTCTTATACTATTCGTTTTGATGATTCTTTTAAATTTGTCACATAGTGTGTGATCCAATTTGCTACTGTTACTACTTCAGGAATATCTTCAGCTAAAATTTGAAGTTGGACCACCATTTCCTTTGTTGTCATTCGATCAATTTTATTCACATTACCCACTAAAAAATATCCTTCAAGGTAATTTCTCACTCTCTTTGTCATCCACTTTCCTTTTCTTTTATCCCATATTTTTGTTTGCCTTTTGTAAAGTTGGTGTCTGTAGCTGCTTTCACATTTTCTGCAACTGCAGGTTTTAAAGCTCTTCTGCAACCTCTGAAACTGTCTGCAACCTCTGCAACTCGGTGTGAAATTTTGCATCAGGAGAAAAATCAACTGAAAAAGCAAAATTTTTGGCCAAGTATTTTCCTGAATTATTTTCATTAATTATTTAGAAAATTATTCTATTATAATCAACTTGATGCTAATAATTATTTTATTGATCATTTAAAAGATAGATAATTCAAGTTTCTCTCATCTATCATAGAAGAAATGAACAAAAAGACCTAAGATAACTACTGACCACAATGCAATCGAAGCTCACATTTATGAAACTTCAAAAGATTATATTTACCCATAAGAAAATTCATATATATATATATTCATCCATTAATTCCATTTATTATGAACATAAGGAAATTCAAATTATTATATACATTCATTAATTATAGATTTACTTTCTCAATATTTTATATACAATATATTCATCCATTAATTCTATTTATTATGGATGTAAAGAAATTCAAATTTATTATTCATATTTATTAACTCTATATAGTTTCAGTAATATCAGAGCCTGGTATTTATTACTGTATGAAATTTATAATAATATGATGAATTAAGATTTTTATTAAAAAAAAATAATATTTATATACATAGTAACTTGTTAAGACAATGTGTTATATGTTAATTTAAAAAATGGCATCCCTGACATTGCTTATTCTAGATAGCACATATTGTTGTAATTTTGAAAGCATATGACCATTTAAAACTTTGAATTTATATATGAAAAGATCTGCATAAAATTTTGCCAATCATTTTTTGTTTGTTTCTTTTCTAGAATATTCTTAGAACTATACATACATGAAGTTGAAACTATTTCAACCATTTGCAGATCTGGTTGAAATAGGGCTGAAATAAGATCAAAATTGATTTTTACTATGTAGTTGCCTCAAGTCAAAATATTTCAACTTTGGGGTTTTAATTTCAACTTCATGTATACTTAGAATTACACAATGAATCTAGGACATCAATCATTACAGTGTTTGGAAATTCCAAATTTGAAAAAATCCTGACTGTATATTGTGTTGCTATACATGCTGTATCTAAAGACATCAAAAAAAAATGCAAATCTTTAAACCCTGATAACTTTGGAAATATTTGTTGGCCCATAAAAAACTCTCTATTTTGCAATCTTGGAACATAAGCAACAATGCAATAGAGATTTTTAAGGTTTATTAGTAAAATAAAAAGTTATGGAGGTTTAAAATTAAGTAATTTTATTACTATTACTAATATTACTAATTAAAAAATTCGGCATGCCTATCAAACTAATTTGACCAATCAGAAAACTAATATAGATCAACTTTTATCACGTGATGCAACTAACAATTTTTTCTTGATCATTCAATGATAATATACCTACATCCGTTAACATAAATTCTGGCAGTTTTCTATGAGATTTATGTTTTTTTGCTGCAAATATTACAGCTTTTCCTGAAAGTCCTAATCTATAAGCATTCATAAATCTATAACATCTCCTAGCAAACTTTCCAATTTTACAAAGTGAAACTGAGTTCAATGCCAGAGGAACAGTTCTCTCTAATTCTTTAAATAAATAATTACAATTTTTCTAGGATACTTTGGATAAAAGTTAAATATTTTATCTGGATGATTTCTTATTAGCATTAAAAATTTTCGGCAATAAGCGCAGCATTTGATGTCATTAGATACATCTGAATGATTTCTTAATCAGGAAAGATCACCATTAAAATTTACGGTGAATGGCGTAGCATTTGATGTCTTTAGATGCGGCACACCATACGTATTAATATAGTATTGTATAGTGTCAAAAAAATGAAAATTTGCCTATCCCTAGTCAAAGCAATTTTTTGAACATTTTATTTGAGAAAAATCAAATTCAGGTTTTCAAGGAGCTTGCTCTACTCAATACCACATATCAACAAATATGTTCTCGCAAATAAATGAGGTAAGGCCAAGTCCTGTGTTTTTATAAACAGTTAACGAGAAGGAATTTTGGAACAGGAATTATATAAATTTTATTAATTAGTTAAGGAAAGAATTTTCATTACTCGTTATTGTGACATGTGCATAACAAAAGTCACAATAAAAAACAAATAGAATAACATTTTGTCTTATATTGTCTCGATGTTAGTCGGGTTTCTTTTTCCTTAATATCATCCAACGTTGGATAACACAATCAAAGGAAGCAATGAAAAATCCCATCACATAAACTTTAATAATTAATTAGGAAATGTATTTTTATCACTCTTTATTATAACACATGCGTATAACAACATTACAATTAATATGATAACATTTGTCTTGCATCATCTCAATGTTAGTCGGGTTACCTAATGTTACATAATAATAATAAGGAAAAGTAACACGATCGAAGGAAATAAAATCCTCCTTTACTTTTGACTTGATGATTTAATGATCAGAATTTTTCTTTATTACTGTATTATCAAGAAATTTATCAGACGCGTTTTTTGTATGTTACTCTAAAATACCATCTAAACTAGGTTGTGTACGCTTTCCTATATCAATATAGTCATCATCTTCAGGACATGCATGTTTTTTTGAGCTCTTTCAGTTGACATATTTGGAAATGGTATGCTTTAAGCTTTGTATATAAGTGATTTCTTTGTTTCTTTTGATCCGATTTTTTTTTTACCTTGAATGAAAAAATATGTCGTCAATGTTTTACGCAATATAATATGATGTAATATTGTTACAATGAAGTGGTTGAACATATAAGATAATTTTAGATAATCCGGATAATCCATAGTAATGGTAATGGTAATAGTAATAGTAATAGTATTATTATCCGTTTTATCGGATAATAATATTATTAGTAATAGGATAACCGGATCTAACCTTAGGATATAATCCGTTCAAGGAAAAAAAAAATTTTCAACACAAACGAAGAAAAAATTAGATATCAATATTTATAACTTTTCATGCAAAGATGCATGGATATGTTTCACTAAATTGTGAAGATAACAAACAGATCATGAAATACTCTGATGGCTAAATACTTTATCATTGTAGACATTTCAACAAAAATCTCTATTTAATAATTACTTGGTCATATAAGCCGCGTATCAATTTACAACGAATAAATAATATACAATGAATAAAAAAATTAATAATTAATAATGAATGGACGAAATTTTGAATTTTATCGCATAATAGTAAAAAATAATAAATGACCTCGTGTTTGATAAATTATCTAATGATAATAATACCAAGGATATTGCGGGCATTGAATTTTATACACTCCTAAAATACTATTTATTATGTAATGACAATAAAAGTGAGGATCATCTGTTGAAATGGTACATACATCAATGGAATAAATCATATGATTATTTGGCTCTAGTTTTTTGTTGGATGTAACTTTCTGATATGATTGTGTGGGGGTTATATAAAGCGCTACTCGTATTAGCAAATCGCTAAATTTGGAAAAACACCCGCATTTAAAAATAAATATTTCAATAACACATGACCTCGTAAATTAATACCCATTTGTCTACATTTTTTTAAATATTTTCGTAAATTTCAATTTCCTTAATAATAATAATAATAATAATAATGTCTTCAAAAACATAAATTACAACTTGTTTCTGTTGGTAAACTCGTCCAAACACTTCATTATGGCTTGTTCATTGTAAACCGATGATCCGAAGGAAAAAAACAAACATATTCCTATACGTTTAAATATATGAGAATTCAATTGGAGCAAAATTTATTATTAGTGTTGTTGGTGGAAATAATAATACTAGACCAGACTATGTTTGTCATTCGTATTTGAAAAAAGATGACGAAAATGCAGAAAAGACAAAAGGTGTTAATATATAAAAATCCTGGGCAGTAATGAATTTGAAATTATAAAATTAGATTTTAACCTATCAGAAGGCTTTATTATAGAAGGAGCCAATATTTAAAAATTCTATTCGATTTACTATATTTAGGTTTTATTATTCTTGCACATGATGATGATCGCTCCATTCACTCATTATATTAGTATATATGAGAATTTTTTTGTTGACAACAACGACAACATATTAATAAATCAAATTCCCGAAAAACAAAACCTGTAAATCTCCATTATTACTATTTTATTATTAATATTAATATTAATAAAAGGTGACAGAGGAAATCTGTAATTTTTTACCAATCAAATTTTTTTATTTTATTTTGAGTGATAGTTTAAAATTTAAAAATTACAAAATCAAATTCAAATGTCCCTATGCTTTCATAGTTTTTTTTTTTAAAATAAAGTCAAGATCTAATAAAGCGAATCCGCAGCTATTTTCAGCAATAAATACTTTGCAAAATTTTTTGGATTTAAATTATTTTCTTTACACTTTTAATTATCTTTTTATTTTAATTAACTTTTCCTTACATAATAAATAAATATCATATAATACACGATGGCATTATTACAACTTTCATTAATTATTTTTTTAACTACTGCATATCTTACCGAAGGATACATTTTTATTGTGCTTATTTTATCTTACCCGGTTTTATATCTTATTAATTTATATTATAGACTACAACGCGCCAAGAAATCTCAACCTTGGCTACCTTCCAACAACAATAACAAAGATGAAGAACCAAAAGTTGTATTAATCACGGGTGCTTCAAGTGGCATAGGAGAATCGTTAGCTTATGAGTTTGCAAAACATAAATCAGTCCTGGTATTGTGTGCACGTAGGATTGACTTGTTAACAAATGTAGTAGAAAAGAATTGTATGTCATTAGGCGCAACAAAAGTTATTAGTGTTAGGGCAGACGTTACCAAAGAAGAAGATATAAATAAATTAATAGAAGTTGTTGAAACCAACACAGCTACTAATGGTAGAATTGATTGCTTGGTATTAAATGCTGGTGTTTCCATGGGTGAGACGTTAGAAAGTCTTAAAGATTTTGAATTGATCAAAAATATAATGAATGTGAATTTCTTTGGATCATCATTATTGGCTTATCGAGCTATACCTTTATTAAAGAAAAAACCGTTATCAAAGTCGAGGATTGTTGTTGTTTCATCGTTACTTGGGATTATCCCTGGACCATTACGAACTGGATATTGTGCATCAAAGTTTGCGTTAAAAGGGTATTTTGAAAGTTTACAACATGAGTTGGCACCATATGATATTTTTGTTACCATGGCTTATCCTGTAAGTGGAAACGAAAAAAAAAAAAAAACTTGATTAATTAATTAAATTAAAACAATTACAATCTTCTATTTTTCTCTAACTGAATGTATTAAATTTGTTTCATGTAGGGAGCAGTAGTAACAGAAATCAATAAAAATAGACTAGGCGAAAATCCCAAAGATCTTGAAATGAAAAACGCAATCTCATCAGAAGAATGTGCTCGAACTATATTCAAATCGGTTTGTAGAGGTGATAGAGAAGTTGTGTTTATGGCAACAGGAAAATTTGCGAGACTAGTGGAAGGAATTTTTCCTGATTTATTATTTAGTATAGTTGGTAGGCTTTCACAAAAGTACTTTAAGAAAAGGACATGAAAGTGGTGAAAATGTAAAAAGAAGATGTAGAAGTAGATAAAGTAGTTAGTTAATTTCAATATTTATTAATAAATTTTTTCCTAACATCATCATCTATTCATTTTAACTATTGTGTATCAGGCATTTTTAAATAAAGTTTAGTTTTTGTATTCATTATTATAATCTGATAATTGCCATTTTTAAGTCAAAGCGCATCAATTTACTATTATTATACCAACTTCTATTCCTTACAATTCGAATACAGCTGCATTGCTGGTTATTGACATGCAAGTGAGCCATGATGAATATTATGCCTGAAAATTTGCAACTTCACTAAATAATATATAATCCTTAATAGGAGTACTTTCGTAAAGAGGCTACCGATAGATGTACAATCTATTGTCAAAGCATGTCACGAGAAAAGTATCCCTGTTTTTTGGACCCAACATGGTCACAGGTATGCTCTGGGACGATAGGCACGTGAATAATTTCATTTCTGCATTTTTTTTTTGTAAGCACTCGAAATGAAGAAATAAATATTTTTATAGTGGTATGATCAAATGAGGATCTGAAGAATGGAAAATTTTGATTGTTTTCAATTGTTAAGCTGTTTTCTGATATTCGATATTCCATGTTTGGTGTATAAAATTCGCCATGTAACTAGTACAAATTTAGAAACTATCTCCAAAATTATATTAATGTATGACGCTATAGAAGTTTGCCTAAACTAAAATGTGATGATGCCGAAATAAGGTTATAGAAACTAATAATCCGAAACTTGGTCACTTTGCCGAATTCGATCACTATGCCGATACTACAAATGAATGCTGAAAACTCAATACATTGATTTGCTAGATGAATTAGGATAAACTCTATCCCATCTCTGATGACAATATTTACAAGTTGGCCTTTGGTTTTTTCATCTCCTTTTGTAAAATGGGTCCCAAACTTCCGACAATGGTCTATCGCCAGCATGTTTTCTTTTGTTATTTGACAATTATGGTGTAATTGATGAAATTTCATATATATATATATATTATCATTTTCTTGTTGAAAATAATTATCTAAAATATTGATGTTTCTTGATCGGATACCATGATTTTAAAAAATTTTCAAAGTAATAAATTTTTACTATAAAAATATCCCACACACACAAGTGATATGTCACATCGTAATTATTTTCGTGAAAAGGTTATTTAATAGACGGGTTTGATTACTATTAAATTGTTAATGTTAATATGTAATTAATGCCAATACTGGCATTAATTCTTGGCAAAGTAATATTATCATTATATGCTTTATGAATCATTAGTTACACAAAAGGCTTGCACATTTTATAGTTTTAGATTTGAGTTTCACACGTATAATTATGCCTAAAGTTTCGGCATTTTGCTTGCTTGAAACCAAACCAAATTTTTTAATTTGCCGGAACTATTGCCGAAATTTAGTAGTTTAGGAAAACTTCTATATTGCAGGCATTGAATTTTATACACTGGTCAGGACTAAATATGGGAACCGCAATTAGCCACAATTCAATTTTCATATGTCGCAACCGAACCGTAATTCAATTTTTATATGCCGCAATTATAATTAGATGAAAAATTTTTATCGCATAAATTCTATTGTGATGGCTCATAATATAAATTGTTGGTTGATCCTTCGGATCATCTGCAGATAAAATTTTAAAATTTGTTTGTCAGATGTAAAGATAAACATCACATCTAAAGAAGATATTTAAAAAAACAAATTTAATTGCTTGATTCATTGAAATCTTTTGATATTATTAGGTGAATAATGGAATTTAAAGTTAAGGTTGATTTCGAAAGACTTGTTTTATCATTGATTAATTAAAAAAAAAAACAAAATTGAAATTAAAATCTTGTGGACGACTAAGGACTAAAGAAAGTAATAAAAATAAATAATAAACAATGGTACGATATAAATTATAATCTAAATAATGATTATGATAAGTTATTGATGAACTCCAAGAAAGTAACAATGATAATTGAGAATCCCATATATGTATTTCTTAACTCCATGCAACTTCTTTTTTCACGCGAGTATTATTATTATTATTTGTTATTTTATAGCACATTAAATTTAATTAGTGACAATCTCGTATTCATAAATCGCATTTCCGAATTTCCAACTTTTGTCAGCATCATTCATTGTATCTACTTTATAAACTATATCCAAATTTGGTTAGAACGTATCAGTTTAAACATAACTGGCTTCCTTTGCACATCACTACTATTTATATTATTTGTCTAAATACTAACAATCATTTTTTAGGTTTTTTTGATTTTCATCATATGTATATATACATTAAAAATAAATCATTATACCAAAATCAAAATGAGTATACGATTGATCAACAAATACATCATCCAATTTTTTTCATAACAACCATGCCTTTTTTCTGAACATTAGTTTGTACCCATCGTCTTTAACACTATTATGTTTTTAGGATTACGATAAACAGATTTATCCAGTAATTGAGTTGGTGCGTGTAAACGAATTTCTGGTTATGAATTAATTGATTTGTATGCCAAATACAATAGCTTCACCATTAGAACCACTTCTTCATAACAAGGTAAAAGTGGCACGTTAATTTAGCCCCGTAGCATATAGCACTTACTGTACTGTCTTTAATTGCTATACGTTTATAAGTTGTAAGTAGAGAGGGGTCTTGTGACTCTTTGAAGAAGGTAAGAATAATAATAATATTAGGAATGTAATATATTAAAAAACTAATATAGATTAAATTACAAATTCACATGTATAATAATACCATATTTTGTATTTTGCATCACAACAATATCATCCTATAAAGTTAAAAATTTTCTTTTTTAAATAAATAAAATAATCAATTTATTATAATAACAATGATAGAAATTAGCCTTACATCTTCTGTTAAAGCAACAGATCGAGCACGTTGTAATCCAAGTAGTAATCGCATATACACACGCAAAGTACGAATTGTACGACGGTTCACAGCAGACATTAGTGGGAGTAGAGCCCTTTCCGTAAGAGTTTTGCCTGTGCAAATTTCTTGATGATTTTAGACATTTCTTTCCTTTTCAATTCTTTGTTGAGATTTTACTAAAAACATAGCTCGATCAATCAATATAAATAATAACATTCGAAACCAATATGCCACCATGACCAGTTTTTTTCAACTTCATGTAACGATGAACCCAAGTGACAAGTTGATGAGAAGAAAGATTAGTATATTCTTATCAAATTAATTATAACACATCTGCATCCATTTCAACATGAATTTATAAAACCTTTGATTTCTAAAAGGCAGGCACAAATTCTTTTTTTTTTATAATCATGTGCACCAATTTTTGTCGTAGTACAAATATGATTTTCATCAAAATATATTGCCACCATCGTTAAAAATTACATTAGTAAATTTGATATAAGCTTGCAAATGATTTAACAAAGTTATTGAACGAATCAGATTATTATGATGTAGAAATTAGAATTGGTGTGGACCAGGATGTTAAAACTTTTAAAGCTCATTCTATCATTTTAAAAGCAAGGTCTTTGTATTTTGAAGCAGCATTATCAAATAATTGGATAAAAAGATCTGACTATTTTATTTAAAAAAGAAAACATATCTCCAAAGATATTTGAAGTTATTTAACGTATGTATGTTATTTGGTTTCCTTACTTGATTTAATAACTTTTATTTAATAAACTGTAAAATTTATTTTCAAAAGATATAATTATAATGGAATTGCTAATGTGGACAACCTGGATCCAGATGAAAATTTTGAACTTATCAATGCAAGTGATGAATTATCTTTTGGTGAATTGATTGATTGTTTACAAAATCATTTAATCGTTGAACAAAATGAATGAATTAAACAAAATATAGTTAATATTTATGAAACTTCATCAAATAATCAATCATTCGGTTTGCTTCATGATTATTTTGGCGAATTAATTTGTGAAAATCCCGAGTTATTTTTAAATCTAATGATTTCAGAGATATTGAAAAATCAGTGCTTAAATCCATATTGGAAAAAGATGATTTATGTATGGATGAGATTGATATCCTGGGATCATGTTATTATCATTGGGGAGTGAAACAAATCAAAAACTTTGTAGAAGAAAAAAGAAAAAAACCAATCGAGTCAGAACAGCTCTTGCCAAAACATAAGAAAACAAATTAGATGAACCTATATCAGAGTGGAATGATGATGATTTAATTAAGTTAAAACCCGTATTACAAGATATCATTCCCATTAATAAGATTCTATCGAATTTCTAAAAGTAGCTTTAAAGAGAACATAGAACATTATAAAGAAGCAATTGACAGTGAATTATATAAAGAGGTTCTTCAATATTATGTCATTAATGAGTGGCAACCAATGTTGTTGCTCCAAAAAAAGTCCAACACCTAGGAAAGCGAATCTATTAAATTTAAAGATGAAATCTTTAATTTCTAATTGGATCAATGAAAACGATGACTCATGTAAAAACAAATTTCTATATAAATTAGAATTGTTGTTTCGTGGGACTAGAGACGGATTTTCTAGATCAACGTTTCAGGAGAAATGTTACAACATTGAAAAAACAGCTGTTGTTATGAAAATCAAAGAAACAGGTGAATTGGTTGGCGGCTACAACCCAGTTTGTTGGAATATAAAGACAGGTCCCCAGATGATCGTTATTGGATTGAAACAAACAAAAGTTTTATTTTTAAGATAGATGAAAATCAATATTAAGTAGAATTTACGAGCAATATTACATAGTACAAAGTTTGTTGATTATGCATTTGTTTTATGAAAGTTTTATAGAATTTAACGATCTGGCTTTATTTAACAACATTCACAATGAACCTTATTGTTATTATCATTTTTATGGAAATGGTTATGAGAAAGGATTGAAACTTAGAAATTCTAGAAGCGTTCAATTATTGGAACAAAGAAATATTAGATTAGCATGAGGTGATTCATATATAACATTTCTAACATTAACAAACTTTTTTAATTTTAACTAATAAAATTATATATATGTATATATATATATATTTTTTTGAATAATTGAAGTCAATGTCAATGATCGTTAACTGCTAAAGCAAAATTGAGTCAACAATTGAAAAGAATATTATATTAATTAATTACACTTTTGTTTAATTTAAACATGTATTTATGATAAAAAATCATCAATATAAAAATACATTGTCTAATCATTTATAGAGAGACTTTGATAAAACATAGAGTCTTGGATCATATATATCAAATGTTGTATCTTTTTCTCTTCATTGTTTTTATAAAATATTTACAACATGGTTTGTATATTAATATCAATCAATACTGATTTTCATCTAAAAAACAATATGCTTTATTAATTGATTGATTATGATGAATTAGAATTGACAAGTAATTATTTACCCTAGTTAATGTTTCTTTAATAATTTATAGATTTCAACTTCCTCTACCAAATCAATATCCGGATATTTTTCAGGACGAAAGCAATAAGGTTCACTAACGCTATTAAATAATGCTAAATTACCAAACTCTAGAAAAACTTCAATAATTTCTACATCACCAAGGACGCGATTAACAAATACACCATCATTAACATATATTTCATAGAATCTGTCCAATTTCGAATTACTTATTTGACCTTCATCAATTTCGAAAGTGAAAAAGTCACCTGTTATGTCATATTCTTCGTCTGGAGACATATCTTTTATATTCCAGCAGACCGAATTATAGCCACCAACCAGTTCACCAGTTTCTTTTATTTTCATGATGACTATAGTTTTCTCGATATTAAAACATTTATCCTGAAAAACTTTCTTAGAAAACCCATCCTGAGAACCACGAAGGATTAATGAAAAATCATATGGTAAATTGTTGCTGTTATATATTTCACTACCTTCGATCCAGCTAGAAATTAAACATTTTCTTTTTAAACTTAGTAAACTTTTCCTTCTTGGGCCTTTTTGGATTAATAAATTTGCTTTCCACTTATCACTGTTAAGATAATATTCAATGAGTTCTATATAAATTTCATTATCAAAAATACTTCTAAATGGTTTAATTTTATCGTAGAAATCACATGAAGCAATTTGATTGAATCTTATTAATGGAATGAATTCTTCCAATACAGTTTTTAACTTAATTAAATCATCATCATTCCACTCTGATATAGGTTCATCTAATTTGTTTATCTTTGGTTTCTTATGCTTTGGCAAGAGCTCTCCTGACTCGATTGTTTTTTTTCTTTTTTCTTCCTCCAAGTTTTCGATCTGTTTCATTCCCCATTGAATAACATGATCCCAGATATCAATTTCATCCATACATAAATCATCTTTTTCCAATATGTATTTAAGCACTGATTTTTCAATATCTCTGAAATCATTAGATTTAAAAAATAACTCGGGATTTTCATAACAATAATCTTGGAGTAAGTTGAATGATTGATGTTCTGATGAAATTTTATAAAGATAAATCATATTTTGTTGGATCCATTTTATTTCTTTTTTTATCAAGTGATCTTGTAAACCCGCAATCAATTCATTAAAACATAATTCGTCGCATGCTACGAGAAGCTCAAAAATTTCATTTGGATCCAGTTTATCTACATTAACGATCCCGTTATAAATATATCTTTTGAGAATAAAAAAAAATAAAAAAATAAATATTATTGAAAATAAAAAATATTAAATGAATATTTTAAATCAAATTTAAACACACGTTAAAAGAACTTCGAATATTTTTGGAGAAATATTTTCTTTCTCAAACATCATAACTCCATCTTGAGATCTTTTTGCCCAATGATCTGCCAAAGCCGCCTTAAAATACGAAGATCTTGCTTTTAAAATGTTTGTGTGAGCTTTAAAGGTTTTAAGATCCTGACCAACTCCAACTCTGATTTCTATGTCATGATGATCTGATTCGGATAAAAGGCTTGAAAAATCATTAATAAACTTGCTGATGTATTTTAAAGGTAAAGCATCAATATCGGAACTTATAAGCTTTTCAATTAATATGTTTATATTCTCTAAGGAAGAAAAAGACATTTTGAAAAGGAGAAAATTGCAATTTTGTGTTGAATGAGTTATTATTATTATACCCTAGAAATTTGGATCTGGTTTATTTTCGTCAAACCGGATTGGAACCGGATTCAAAACGGATTTAGAATTTTTTAGACAATCTTTATAAAATGAAAATGTCTGATACGTCTCAATCCAGGGCTGACAGTGTAAAGGACTAAAATCCTAATTTACTAATAATTGTCCTGATGACTAATTTAGTCAGTTTGGCCCAGTACTCATTTGAGTTACGCGACCAGCCCGACCTCAACCCTTGCATTCGAATACATGGTAAAAATCCAATCACGTGTCAGCTCTTGAATTCGGGTGCAATTTTTTGGTCCACAAGTGGTGGAGATAGCAGGTCTGTTTATATGTTTTATAGTAATAGTAATTTATTAGACTGCTCAATCAATGCACTAAATATGAAAAAATACGTCATTGCACAAAAGGATGCTAAAGTGCTTCGCATCCCGAACTATTCAAAATTATTTTCTTTTATATCATTCATAATGTCAATGTTAAAGGAATGGTATATATAGTAATAGTAATAGAATTAATTATTTCAAAAATCACGTGATCGTAAATTTTATAGTGTATAAAGTTGTAGGGACCAAGGATGGCTTGCATTATATTAATATTAATACTATCTACTAGTATCCACCATCATCATCATTTTTTTAATTGAAGAATTACACAATTATTTGGGTTAATATTAATAGAAACTGGTTGAACACAAAAGATTGAATCTCAATTATTTTGATATTATTCTAAGGTGAGTGTGGTGGAGTGTACAGCTTCCTGATTAATTGTTGAGAATATGTATATTAATTGATAAGGTTATTATTATATATATACCTTTATTGCTTTGACAAAACAATTGAGTTTTATCCTTTCCAAATCCATCCGGATATTATAAAATCACTAATTATTGACTCTACTAAACAGGTAAACATTTATTTTTCAAAAAAAAAAAGGGGAATTATAAACGGATAAATTAGGAGCGTGTTATTATCACGGGCCATTGTCCACGTTACCAACACAATCTAAATATTGACCAACATTTTATTCGAAAATTTCTATTAGATAAATGAATAAATATCTGGTCGTTTCATTTATAAATGGTTTGACTTTAAATTGCTCTCGATATTATTTCATTGATAACATGAACAAAACCATGACTGTATAAATGTTGATAATTTGAATGTGATTGGCACTGGTGGAGTTGATTTTTTCAAAATAATTCCCTTTGACATAAAATTAATTAATATAAACATCGGTACTAATAATTTACTAACATTATTTTAAACTCCTTTACCATCCATCCGACCATGTCGCCAGTATTTGCTTCAGAGTACTTTGATGATAACTTTATTATGATATAACCTGAAAGGAATAAAAATTGTCATTTCTTAATCGGGAACTCAATTTTGTGTATTAAAAATTGTATATATATACGCATTATTAGTCGCACAAACACATTCAAAGTAGAGAATTGTCAAACCGAAAAAATGATATAAATTTCATGAAGCTTTTTGCTGCAGAACAAAACAAACCACTATTATTATTCACATATAATTTACTTCGAGAAATTCAATGCAGCGAGTAGAGATGGGCAAATCAGTACTATACGTATAGTGAGAACAATATAGTAGTAAATGTAAATCAAATTCCTGTTTATGTTTTAAACATATTGGTAATGTCAATTGGTTATAAGCAATTACGTTTTGAAATATCTATATGCAAAATTCCAAAATATCAACGTTCTAGTTCAATATCTAGATGTGAAAACTATTTACGCCTTTGTCCAAATTCCCACAATTCAAACTAAAAGAAATTATTTTGGAGGACATTTTAATACTTCAAATACTAATGTACAGATAAATTGAGAAATTGATGAAATTCCATCGAAGAAGCTGATGAAAATTTTATTGAAGAATCAAATAAAAATGAAAGCAGTTTTGATTTTTATGATATTTATTTAATTCATTCAATAGAATTAATGATTCAATTAAATATATATACATAAATCAAACCTTTAGTTATAAAAAAGTGTAAGTTGAATAAATTAAATAAAAATTTAATTGTTGCAATGTTCGTGCTTATCGTAATAGTCAAATATTTTATTTTATTTTTTCTTATTATTATATTAGAAAATCATCTAATCAAATTTCAACACCACTATACGTACTATACTCACTATACGTATAGTATCGTATAGTGTTCAACTATATGCACATTTGCCCATCTCTCTAGCAGCGAGTAATAATTTTCATTCCATATAAGAATCCGAAATGCTTTAATATTTTCAAAGTTTTGCTCAAAAGCACTAAATTTAGTTTTAAAACTATTTAACTCTTTCGCGATCAAATCAAGTTTTTTCCACGAACGATAAATGATAAAACAGTGATGTTACCGGCTTAGCTGGCTAAAAAAATTTCTCTTGACATTCATTTTTACGTCTGGAATTTTAGTGCAGAATTCAATGGCATAGATGTTTAGTTGAGATTGGTCCCATCTACATTACTTAGAATGATAAAAAAAAAATACACACATTTACTCAAAAAGCAAAATACTATACATCATAGCAGGATAAAAGTCATAGAGTTTCTATTCGTAATACAAATTCTTATTTTAATTCGAATTATTATTGTTCCTTCTATTCGAATTATTCGTTCTATTCGAATTATTCTTTTTATTCGAATAAAACTTTCAATATAATTCGAATACTCTCAAATACATAACGAGTAAAACAAATAATTTGAACCATTAAAGGCGAGATATTATAATAACAATAGTAAATAATAGTAATAATAATAACAATAGTGGTAGTAATAATGATACCGGCAAGCTTAGGACCATCTGAAAAGGTTTTCCATCAATTGGAGTTTTTGGCTGGCTAAGGGTTGTTCGGCTTAGCCGACTAAAGTTTTTCTATCGGCTAACATCACTATGGTAAAATATTTACTCGAAATTCGTGCGATTTCATTTTGTCTCAAAGTTTTGATTCGCAAAACTATCACGAGTATTTGCTAATGGATGACTGTCTCAATTGCTTTATTAAAAACTAAAAATGCAATAAGTTTCTTGTCTAGTGGTATTAAAAAAAGTACAAAGATAAAAAACACTTCTTAGGAAGTGAGAAATAGGATTATTTATTTATGGGCGAAGATCATTCTGAGAGTGAAATGAAGTTGACACTGAAAACATTGCCTTTGGCACGATGAACAAAAAACTGGATATGAGTTGAAAATAAAATACATCATCATCATCACCACCCTTCACGTTTCTCTTATACCTTGTCTTAACGTCATCCATCAATCCATCATGACCAATAGAATTTATAGTCAAAGTATTATTCGAGTTAATTACAATCTAAAAGTTCAAATAAAGAGGTTATTTTTATTATAAGGAGAAGGACGAATCATCTTATCAATAGTGCTCTCTTGTTATATATTTTGGACTTCCCAGCACAAGTTGAAAGATTCTTGCGACTAGCGATTAACATGCGAGACAACAATTCGTATCTTACCTCTCAAGATTCATTGGAAGTCGACAGTATGACTTGCTATAAATATCAACATGTATGTGGATAAAGTGATGGATAGTCGATACCGAATACAGTAGAAGTAGATTATAATAATAATATTATTAATTAAATTCGCGTTATAACGGATTTTATAAATTGACCGCAGATAATTTCTAAAACTAGCTAGTTCTAGAGCGAGGCGCAGTCGAATTTCATACAAAATTTTAAAATCTACTTTTAAAAAATAGTCATGGTTTTTTATTAAAACATATCTCTCAATACTTGCTAATCTTAGATTCTAACCGTCAAAATTTGTCATCAAAGGATCCTGAATATGTTATATTTTAACAAAGAGTGTTGAATTTACAAGGAGTCTTGAAACAAATAATTTCTGATTTGTGTCACACGTACTTATTAAAATTTGGTAGTACTGGTCTGTCCTAAATTTTAGGACCAGCGGATCTTTCTTAATAAGGAGATTTTGAATTGATTTTTGGTGCATAATTTTATGTATTGTAACGCGTAGACAATGGTTATTATTATCATTATTGTTGATAATGGACTTGTACAATTTTGGATAAATAGTGATGCATTTTCACTTATTGCTTTTAATTAGGGAAATAATATCATTGTGCCGAGAAAAATTATTGCTATCAGTTGATTGAGCATGGCTTGACTCCTAAAATAGATTCAATGTCAAAAATGGAATTCAAGAAAAAGACAAATTGAATAAAGCCTGAACTACTAAATAAGGAAGGACAAATGATGAGAATGAATATTCTCAACATTGATTTATATTTTTGGATTGATTACCTTGTACGAAGGGAAGATAATAATTGATTTTTTGGGTCAAGGTTATTGAAAATTGCTATTGTGTAACTGTTCACTGTTCTTTGTCTGCTCCAGATAGTGAATGTACAATCCTTATTCTTATTGACAGGTAATAATGTTTCTCCTCTAAAGTAATAAAGGTTTTTAAAGATGGAGTCATTTTGATAATTTACAGCCAAGACATTTTAAAAAATATTTTCAACTTCTTATTTTTCTAAATCATAAAATCTGACTTCATTCAACAATCTTGTCAAGCCTGAAATGTCTTTATTGGAATTTATAAGGATGTTAACAATAGTTTCAAGAGATAAAACTTTTAGGCACAAATATACTTGCACCATATTATTTACAACGAATTTTTATTATTAGCTTGGCGATGATCTTTTAGGAGATTCAATTTTTTGCTCTCTATAAAAAAATTAAAAAATAAAAAATTATTATAATAATAACAATAAAATAAAATATATGAAAATACATTACCTAGTTGATTTTCGTTTAACACGTGGATTATCGTTATCAACGTTAATAATATCTTGAAAATTATCATCATCATTATTATTAACAACACCAGATTTCCTTTTTTTCCCACGGGTACTTGTAGTAACTTTTGCTTTGGTAGCTTTTGATTTTGTTGTTGTTGTTGTTGTTGTTCCTTGATTAGTAAAATCTAGTGAACTTGATAGCGAGGTGATTGAGTTGATGGAGGAAGAGAATGCTTGATCCATAAAATAATCTTCGATGTTTGTTTGGTGCGAATCCTCGGCAGGTTTATTTGAATCCTTTAAATCAGTAGATTAATGATTAAGAATGAATTGATATATATATATATATATATATATATATTGAATAATAATAATGATATTTTTTTTACCCCTGATAATAATTTTTCTAAATATTCATCTTCTATAAATAACCTATCTAATATTTGACATTCTTGTTGTGCCTTTACATTAATATATAAACAAAAAGAAACAATAGTGTAATAACTATAAATAAACAAATGTAATATAAAATTTTTTTCGTTTATAAAGTCCTTAATCATTCATTATTTAAATTGAGTTGCGCATTCATTCTAATATCCCACCTTCTCTTTTTTAGCAATGTCGTCAACTATAGTGGGATCCTCCAATATTTTGTCTCTTGCATTTTGTAAAGCATGTTCGTAAACTCTTTTATTATTCCAAAAATAAATATATAGTGTTATTATTATTGTTACTATTATTATTATTATTATTATTATGTTAATAATTTACGTACACGCAAGTGGCATCTTCTTCATCCTTGTTTATAAAAGATGAAAGAGCTTGATTTAATCCATTTTTTGGTAAAATTTGAAGCGAATCTAACATTTCATCAATAAGATCTGTAACTTTTTTATTGGAAAGTTGTTCAATGGTGTCGTTTTCATAATCTATCGAATAATTAGGATTGTTATCTTGATTTTCTAAAAAAAAAAATTGTATTTTTTAAAATTAGAAATTAGGAATTATATTATTAAATAAAAATTTATTTTGCATTTATTTTGCATACTAGTGTTAGGTCTTTTTCGTTGATATAGTAAAATATCTTCAGGGTTTGCAACACGACTTTGGAAATATTGCGAAAATTCAGAATTATTACAAATTTTATGTTCTTCAGAATATTGCACCTAATATTATATACAATATATAAATATTAAATTAAAATTAATAATTGTAAACACAATATATTTACTTATTCATTCACAGAAAAAATTTATATATTCATTACTTTTAATCTAATCAATGGGAGTGGCGGATTTGTATTATGTTCATTCAATTTATACCATTCTTCATTTGCCTTTTCAATCATTTGATCTACCTTTAATAATAATAATATTAATAATAATGTCAATAATAATAACAATAATAAAATATTATTGTCATTAACATAAATACCTTTCTATTCAAATAATTTATTAAATTATTATTATAATCATTAGACAAAAGTTCAGAAATTTCCGAAAGTACTATAGTATCAATAACCATTGGTCTAATGGTTTTGAGTCTAAATTTTTCCATTCTAAATTGACCTCGACATATTTTTAAAATTCCAACATGTCTTTTTTTAAAAGAATAAATATATCATTAATGTATAGTGTTTTAAATCAAATTATTGTTATTGCTATCATTATTATTACTACTTTGGAGCTGCTTCTGCTTCGCATAGACTTGTGGCTATAGAAGAGCCAGGTTGAGTGATATGAAATCCCCTGGCTGAATTATGTAATGGATCAATCAAACATTCATGTTCATGACCCCAAAATACCAGATCGAAAAAATTTGGAATACAGGATTCGGGAATATAATTTGTTCCGTGAGGTACTCTATAAAAAAATTATTAATTTTTGTTTTGCATAGAAATCATTAACATTAATTAATTATATATATATATATATACCTATTTTGATGCAACACCAAAATATTAAGTAAATCATCAACATCTTCAGTAAGCCTTGGGAATTCAACATTCTGAGCATCAAACATACGATGCAACCTCTCATCTCTAATATTTCCCATTCCGTACAATGCCAGGTTTGTATTGCCTTTTTGGATATGTATCGGTTTGATTATAATCTTGTCCACTACTTTAGATTTACCAAAATAATTAATTAAACCTGATGCTGAAAGTACATCCAATGCACAAAGATTTCCTTCCTTAAAAAAAATTTTTTTTCTCAATGTATATGAAATAAATTTATAATTATAATAGAATAAATTATTTTTTTTTACCCCAGATGGATCATCGTGATTTCCATGAATCGAAAATACGGGGAATGCAATCTTGAAATTTGGATCAATGTGATTCATTGTATTTATACCACCACTAAGTATATATTTATATATATATATATTATATATGAATTTATTATAATGATAATTATAATTATAATGATACCAATTAATATTATTAACCTTTGTGATAAATCATTGGATTCATTATTTACTATTCGAAATTTACATAGTCTATCACCCATGCAAAATTCACGCAACAACTTGGTTGTTTGATATACTGTTCTGCGTGATGGCTTATTTTCATGAAAAAGATCTCCTCCCAATAAAATAAAATCTACCTTTTTAAAAAATTATTGTCATAATGTTATATTAAGTAAAGTGATACTGGCATGTTTAAATCAAGTATCATAAAACTTACATCATTGTCTTTAGCGATTTGTAGAATTTCTTTAAAAGTCTCAAAAGAATCATTTTTACAAACTGGATCTCTTCCCAAATATCCTAAATGGTTATCAGTAGCAATCAAAATGGATAGAGTATCATCAGGATCATACATGTTAGAGTCAATATCTTCCATTTTAAAATTTGAATATTTAATAAAAAGGGGAAATAGTTGGTAATAATAATTAATGATTTACGCGTATTTATAGAGTTCGTGAAACATCTGTATTATTTCATTGTCGATTCATTTTTTATTATTGATTAAATATATAGATTTATATATCTTGAAGAAACATCAAGTAATAGAAATAGTATTGATAGTAGATTTGTTTGCTTCAGAATCTATTACGTACAATTTCTTATAGAATCAATTAATCACTTTACCCCCGTGCGCTTGAATCTATTAGTTCCTTAGTTGCAATATAAAGATTAGTTTAATAACGGTTTATATATACAATTAATTTATCATATATTCTAATTGACTAGAATAAACAAACATTTCATCATTAACAGAACAGATTGATTTGGGTCTTTTTCAAGTCGTGTGATAATTTTGACCTTGAACTTTTACGATCAGTCAGCTGGATTTGCGTTTTATCATTTTTATTATCTTCATTCATATACAAATAACGTAACTGACTGACTGTTTATTTATTATTTATTGTTCTTTACAATAAATTACGCACTGGAAATACAAAAGCTGGCGTTAGAGTTAGATTTCAATAGGTGCCTGATTTTAGAATTGTCACATGATTTATTTTTATTGGACATCACATGTACGACAACTTTCAATCCGATATTAATATTAATATATATATATTTCAATAAATAAATAAGTAAATAAAATTATTAAAAAAAAATTTTTCATTTTCATGGTTTTGTTAATGATAAATAAAATTATTCAAATAGAAAATTTCTTTAGTTTAAAGAATATTATTTAATCATCGATATAACAAAAACATTAAATAAACGAAGAAGACAAAGATTAAGACATTAATAATAATAAGGAGTATATATACATATAAATATTATTATAATGTATCTTTTGTCATGGATATTTTATGATTCTCTAAAAGAAAAAAATTTCATTATTTCTACAATAATCATATTAATATGTTTTCTACAACCAATAACTGTATTTGCTAAACCCGAGGAACATTATGAAGGAAGTCCAAAGGTCTTAACGTTGGGATTAATCGGAGTAGTATGTGTAGTCTTTGTTGTTACTATTTGTGCTTGTGTCAGAAGACGATTGTATGGCAGATACAAGGATAGAATACTGGATATTAACGATCCTGAAATTGCTCGGGCTGAGGCTAGTATGGTTGAAACTTTAGACGAAGCTGCAAGACAAAATTATGAACGTGCTAGATGTAATAAATAAATATATGATTGATTGATGGATTGATTGATTGATTAATATTTAATTAATTAATTAATTTATTAATGGGATTTTTTTAAAAAATTTATTTATAAATAGTATTTCAAGAAGCATATCCACCAGATAGTATTCCAACAGATATTACATTATCACAATTTCTTTCAATTCAAGAGAAAGGTGTGTCGGCTTGGGAATTTGAACCTGACCTTCATCATACAAATTGTTTTGTGGAAGGTCGTACTGAGATTGCTTTTTATGATGGTGAATGTTCTGTTCAAACTAACCTTCCATTACCAAAACAACAAGAAGTTTATTACTGGGAAGCTAAAATGTTTGAAAAACCCAGTACTACAACTGTTTCTGTTGGATTAGGAACAAAGCCATATCCATTATTCCGATTACCAGGTATAGATAATTTTATTTTTTCTGTTTTCTACCACCTGTTATATATTATATATTATTTCATGGTGAATTTTATTTATTTAATTACTCGATTGATTTTACTTAGGTTGGAATCGTCAATCTGTTGCTTATTTTTCTGATAATGGTTTTAAATATTATAATTCACCATTTAATGGTAAAACTTATGGCCCACAATTTCAACAGGGTGATGTAGTTGGAGTTGGATATCGCCCAAGAACCGGCACAGTGTTCTTCACACGTAATGGCAAAAAATTAGATGATGCATTTACAGGGATGAAAATGAATTTATTTCCAACTGTTGGAGCTAACGGACCTTGTTCAGTACATGTTAATTTTGGACAGTTAGGATTTGTGTTTATTGAAGCAAATGTTAAAAAGTGGGGCTTAGCACCTACCATGGGTACACTTGCACCACCACCTGCCTATGGATCTGAAAGGGGATCAATTTTACTAGAGTCAAGTACACGTGGTCGACCTTCAGAAGATACTCCACGCCTACAATATACGCATATTGATACTGGTATTATTTCAAATCCACCACCTGAAGCAGCTCTAGATATTTCATTATCCGATATTACTGTTCCACCACCATCATATTCATCAGTAGACAGATATTATCGACCCAGAGACTCATTTACATCTGTTGTGTCTGAAAACTCCGAGACGTATTTATTATCAGGAGATCAATCTGACAGTAGAAGAACAAGTTACGAAAGTTCTTCTAGAGATCACTAATAACAACAAAGAAGAAATGATTAATCGCTATTAATAAGCGATGATGATGATAATAGTAATAATAAAAATATTATTAGTGGTGATGACAATGAATTATTATTTTATACATGAAAGAACATTATTATTTATTTAGATGTTAGGAATTAAATTATTTATTATGTGTGATTTATTATACGTTTATATATATTAATTATTAAAAATCATCCCTCATTTTATATGCATATTGGATTTTTGATTTATTATTATTATGGTTATGATGGATGTGATGGTCATGATCATGATCATGATCATGATGAGAAGGTTGCGGCAACAAAAAAAAAAACCAGACAAATATATGCGTGTAACATTATTAATATGAGAGGGTTCTTTAGTTTATTATTAATATTAAATATTATTATTATTATTCATTTTTTTATTCTTTTTGTTATTTGTATTCATTATTCAATAAAGATGTATATAAAAATATATATAAATATATAAAAAACAAATAAAATATAAAAATTATAAATAAATTTATTTAAAATTTATTTCTTTTGGCAAAATATAATAAATATTAATAATAGATGTTTATTACATTATCCTGCCTAAATGCAACATGATCTTTAATACGTTCTGACCCTGATTTGGATTAGGATAAAACCAAGCTCCATGTTCAAATATCATTCATTGTTGCTTTAAATCCAAAATAATAATTATTAACAATAAAACTATGCTAAAATGCTTGTATGATGTGTGGTATCTTCTGGGAAATTCCTTTTAATGTTCTCGGATGGAAATATTATTTATAATTAACAACATAAAAAGATTAAATTATTTTATTTGAAAAATAAAAAACAATAATGAATAGTAATAATAACCTTAACAAATTCTATTCAGCACAAACCATATTTTATTTTTATTAATATCAATTGTTGTTGTTAATTGTTTTAGCGATAATAAATTATAAATTATTAAGTTGTGTAAAAAGATAAATTTCATTCTTTAAACACTAATAAATCTTTCCCTTGAATTATAATCAATTTTAATGTATTATTATTATTAAATTTATGTAATGCGCACTAAAATTTTTAGATAACCAAACCGGATTGAAACTGGATTCAAAACGAATTTAGAACTTACATTAGTATCAGTATTAGTAATAATTTTTTTTGTAGTACTATGCCAATTTTATTTATTAAGAAATCAAATCATTTTAAAATATAATTTTATACTTGCCGCCCAAACTCAAATGGCCAAGTTCCAATCCCAATCTCAATGTCAGAGTGGTACAAATCCCAAAGTCGTCCAAATCCCAAAATGCCCAATAAAAAGTCACGTTTCAAGTTTTTTTAGCAAATAAAAAAAACAGTGCAATTCCATCATCCAAAATTTTTTTCTGTTGTGAGATTTTCTATGGCATTCTTATTATTATTCTAGTAAAGCCAGTAGATGTCTTGGCAAAGCTCAAAAGGAAAGTTATTTGATAATTTTGAATACTATTATTTTTGTTTTGGTATTATTATATAAATTTTTAATAGGTAAGGCTTTTCTTTTTCTTTTTATTATAAATATAGGGAGTTGTTTTTCAGGAAAACTTTGTTTATCATTGGGTAGTCATTAAATAATGTCAAGTTTTGAACAAACAAAAGTATTTATTTCAATTTATAAAATCTCTTAGTCAAGTTAGAAAAAGAGCAAGATATAAACAATCAATTAAATAATAATACTAAATTAACTGATTTATAATATGGTGCATACTGCAACAAAATTCAGCCAACCCAAGGATCTACAACGAGGATTAACCTTCACCATTTGGGATGTTGATCCTAAGGTTAAACCTCTAACCAGCATAGTGGACATTTGATTTCATTGGCTAAATTTTGTGACGATCTCCCTTCCAGATATCACGCAAAAATTAAATTT